GCGTGTCTATGACCTTTTTGAGACTTTCATATGACTCGCTCGCTTTGTCCGTTCACCTGCTGAAGTCTTGTGATGGATCCAAAGTGTCTACCTCTTTCCCTGGCTCGACGGCTTTCCTTTTTTTGGAGAAGTTTTGATTAGAGCGAGGGCACGCCGTGCAAGAGGAAGATTTTAGGGGTGGAGATGGGCAAAAATGTCTCACAATGGTATAATGTGCTCTGATGTTCATGCGACACGGAAGAATTGAACGCGTGTCAAAAAAGTGCAAGTACTGGTCTGATGAGCTGGGATAACAGGGGAACAGGAGAATGCGCGCTTAACGAGAAGATGGAAATGAATCTGGAACGCGACACCATTCGGCTTGAGAGGGGCATTTTGCACCTTTGCTAGTTCCTGTTGAATCACATGTCACCACTTGTCACTTCGTAAGACCTGCAGGTTCCTGTCAAATGTTGACGAAGCTGTTGCGCAGCTTAACTGAGTGCAAAATGTCCTCACCAATCCAATCTGCGCCATTGGAACTATCAGACCAAATCAAAACAGTCCAGATTTCTTCTCCTCCTTTTGCGCTACCTGTTCAAACAGCTATTTCAGCGTCTGTCGATACATGGTGGGGTCACCAGAAGTGGCTGAGCGTATAACAGAAGCAACTCGACTGTTTTGTGTCCGAGTAATGGTTGGATGCCTCATATTGTATGATCATATTGATGAAAATGGAGCATTCGTGAGGGAATCACCTATTAATCTCCGAGCTGTCGTTAATGTTGTCAAGGAGCAGACCCAACCCCCACAGGTTTGCTCTCTTCACATATTTTTCGTTGACAAAAGGATAAAGAGTTCGCAGTCAATCAATTCCTTTATGGGATGCGACGCGCATTTGCTTCCATCAGAATCGTAAAGGTTTACCGAATGCGATGTGACCTATACAGTGACTTGTGAGCCAGCCAGTGTTCAATCAGCGTCCTCATCCTCCCAGACAAATTTGGTACCAGTTTACCGTCCCCAGAGAGCAGAAGGCTTGGCTTGCCTGGGCAGGAGCCGATCCAGGACTTGACCGCGCACATGGTGAGCGTGCCACTTGCCGCGGATTCACATCCGCCAATGAAAAATGATGCGGCGGTGGTGGTGCAGCGGCACATGAAACGCTTACCACGAGTTTGCGAGGGTCAGATCCTGTATCGGCTACCGCCAAAAAGCCAAGCCTTCTACCCTCCGGGACGGTAAATTGGTACCAGATTCGTCTGGGAGGATAAAACACTGACTTGTACATCGGCTGGCCACCGCAAGTCATTGTATAGGCCACATCGCATTCAATAAGCCACTACGATTCTGAATGGAAGTAGAATGCGTGCCGCATCCCACAAAGGGATAAATCAACGGCGAAGACTTTATCCTCTTCCCTTTTTGCTGATAAAGATCACAAAACCTTGGTCTCAGACTGAAGCCCTGTTGAATGCTCTGCGCTATACGTCGAAGCATTTCACTCAAGCCTCTACACCAAAATCTGTTCGTGCTATTCTCGCCTGAGCGCCCACTGGCCGTTGCTTTTTTTGCCTCTTGTCATGATCGATGATTCTCATGCCGTTTGAACTGCGATCAAACATTCTTCTTTGCTTCATTCCAAATTTCTGCGAGATCGGTGCCAATTTTTTACTGCTCACTGTGTGTGTATTATTACCTGGTAGAATTCTAGTCATAATGTAGCCTATGTCATCTCTAAGTCATAATAATCTGTAATGTAACCAAAAAAGTCTTGTCACTGTACTGTGTGCTATCTTTACAAATTTAACAGAACTTACAAATCAATATTTATATAACATATGCTTTGAAAAAATGTATTAATTTAATAAAGTTGTTACGTACAAGACAACCTTTGTCAAACAGCCTCCTTCAAAACCGTTTATGGTAAAAGGCAGTCAACGTCAATGATAGAGAGAAATATAGTAGGTTCTTGGATTATAAGCACATCCTATAATAATATATTAAAGAACAGAGCACATTTTAAAGAGTTTCGTCGTTTTCATCATCATACAGTATGATTGAAGGTAGTGGGCGCGATGGCTGGGGGCGGGAGGTTACTGGCCACGTCACTGGTGGAACGACTGCGAGAGGGCGTTTGGTCACACCTTATCCAGTCCTTCCACCAATGATGGTAGCAGCAACCGCCGGCCCCCAACCGTCGAGCCAACTGCCTCTAAGACGCGTCAGGAAGAGAATACACGCACTTGGGAAGGAATCGGTATGACTATATCGCGTCATTCTCAGGAACACAGATGACAGTAAAGTTATTGATCAGCGATAATGGAACATAATTTACTGTAATTCGCTTGAGGGAACATAGAGAAATTTTTTTTCTTAGCGTATAAGTGTCGTTCATGTGCATTACAGCAATGTACATTTCTTCTTCTTTTCCATTGGTGGTGGTTCCAAAGCAGCCATTATTGCTTCGTCAAACACATTCTTCAGCCCTTTCTGGAAACAAAATGGGTGACATTAAATGGCTTAGATGTTGTGGTGACTACACATTCTTTTAGTCAACGAATGGTTAACCAGGATAATATCGCGTGCGTCATAGTTTAAAATGAGGATTGCGTAACAGCCGCTCGAAAACTTGACATCTCGGAGTTTTTCCAAACAATTCAAGAGAAATCTAACTGCTGCCTGGTAAATATGTTTTGACAACTTGTATAAACTCTACTCAAAAAAGCTCTAAGAATCTTTTGATCAATTACGACTTGAAACTTCATTCACCTTCCATCCCAGCTATTCAGGACAGGTTCCACCTTTGCTCAAAAAAGGGAACAATAAAAATAAGGGTGCGTTCATATAGCATACAGCGGCAGCGTTTCTATCGTCTGTCAGCGTTTTGAGCGACTAGGAAAGTATCGGTATCGATACTGCGTTTTCGGGGTCTGCGTTTTGAGCGCCTCCAGCGTTTCTGCTGACTGAGCTGTTTCGATACCAGTATTTTCCTAGCCATCCGAAACGATCAAACGCTGCCACAACGTATGAAGCACTTTGAGACCGCGTTCAGAGTTCGTGATCGTGATTGGACTGACGATCCTGCCGAGCGATCCGATCACGCGATTCAGCAGCTCCGTCGCGAAGTCTTACGATGGAGCAGTTGAACGCTTAGCGCGGTTTCACATGCACTGGACGCTAGGATGCAGGGCTTATACCGACAAGTTTGACACAAGGAAAACTTGACCACGCATGGGACAAGAAAAAAAATAGACTGGAAGACAGACTCTGTACTGAGCAAGATTCTAAGCACTATGAAAATTGCGGTTCTTTTTCCTTTGCACACTCAATTTAGCTTATTATCCCTTGGTAAACGGACGGAGTGAAGTTTTTCTGCGAGATCGGCTATAAGGCCGCGTTCACGCTTCGCGAATGTGGTGAACCTTGAGGGGAAAAAAGGGGTTCACTAGTGGGCAGAATCGACTTCCACCTCATCAAGGACCATCCGAACTTGCCAACTCTTCAGGTTACATTTATACCTTCTGAACGAACGGCTTCTGGAATTGTAAACTCTCCGAAGTCAAAATATGAGCTAGGGTTAAGTGACAATTGAAGCAATACCATTCAGAAAGCGCGGCTATGAAATCGCTAACTAGGACTAAATTATGGAAATGCTGTCATTTTGTTTGGAACCCAGTCAATTTTTCATTCAAAAGGGCGCTAGGTGGGCAAATAATAGCGTTACTTCTAGTCGCAACATGCATGCGCGAGCAGAGTGTCTTCGAGCTAGTTATCATTAGCAAACACTCTAATGGTAACGAGGTGGTTGACTCGCGAGACGCTGGCACCGAAGGGTCGACGCGCCATAGCACTGCTACGTTGAGTGGATTGGGTCCTGGTACGAATGCTGCGCACCTCACCCTGCTTGCAACGCATATTTGACTGCATTTGCCGCGACCAGGAAGGAATGCTCAACAACTATAGACGTGCGTTCATACTTCGACTCGAGCGACTGCGTTCGACGGCGTTTTACCGCTAATTGTTGGACAGCTACAATTTTCATTTTCAACTTATCAGTCTCGACCTTTCTATCATGCGTTCTTGCTCTTACGGTAGATCTCAACTTCCAAGAAATTATAGGACAAATGATGATTTCCAATGCGACTGATTCAGAAATTGCAGCGGTTATACAAGTAGCGATGAGATCAGTTCGCGAGGTGTGAACATAAGTGCTCGCTACACCCTGGACGGTGAAGCCATGACAGACATGAAGAAGATAATGCAAAGAGTCTATTAAAAAAAAGCCTACCTGAGTGAGTGCGGAGCATTCCACATACTTGACTGCCTTCAGTTCCTTTGCCAATTTTTCTCCTGTATCCGATGAGATCGGTTTTTGTTTATTTTTTGCCAATTTCTCTAACATGGAAGGATCATCACGTAAGTCGACCTTTAAATAACATTATTAAGAAGTTGAAAATATTTCCAGAACAGAAACTTCTCATGTTAAAAAGCGCTTTTGCTGGAGAAATTTTTCCTAACCTCTACCATCTGCTCCGAAAATTCGAACAAAGGGAGCAATCGGAAGAAACTTTTACAAACGTTCGCACTCTCACAATGGAGCCACTTTCTATATTTCAAAATGAGGCCACTTTCTATGTTTTGCCGATGTCACGTCACTATGTTTTCCGTCCTCTTTAAGACTAGGAAAACTTTCCTGTGCAAGGGATTAACTACAAACCAGTTCTTGCGCAAGGAATATAACCGAGCAAACACCACCGCTTAAGAAACAATACGATATTTTTCCGCCTACGGAAAAAAGGTAAACAGAAACTCTCTCCGACTCCACAATTTACCGCGCGCATACTTTAAACCAGCGAGCTATTAAATGATGGTAACGGAAAATGCGCGCTTTTCTAGCGCAAGATAACTCGTCACAGCCGTCGTAATACGAATAGTAATGGAATGAATGCCAAGCATAGCTCGCGTCATGTTATAAAATTCTGCTCATGTGGCATAAAAAAGAAATTAAAAAAACTATTTCAGTGATAGGACAAATACGTACCTGCGTTCCTACTAACAGAAAAGGTGTTTTCGAACAGTGATGAGCGATTTCGGGTACCCACTGAAATTGAATTATTCAGAGATTATTCGAATTATTCTCACACATGTTAACACATTAAACTGGACGCTTCGGGACGAAGGAGTACTAGTAATGTATTCATACGTCACCGTCTTGAGCGTACGCCAGCCTTTTGAGCGACTAGGAAAGTATAGGTATCGACTCATCGGATAAGAACGAACGCTCAGAATGCCGAATCGATACCTCTTATTTCTCAGTCGCTGAAAAGACTCACAACGCGGCGGAAAGTATGAACGGACTCTAATTATGTTGGAATTGGGGAACAAAGCAAATGAGTGAATAGCTACTTACTTTTTCACGAACGTTTTCAAACGATGCCGGCGCTACTACGGAGAAACAAACTAGAAAGACATCGGTTTGTGGGTAGGATAGCGGCCGTAAACGATCATAATCTTCCTGTCCAGCAGTATCGAATAATCCCAGCGTGTACGGTTCTCCTCCAATCATAACGGTCACCTGAAGACGATTTACGCAATGAGCGGTCACAAATTAAACTACGAAGCATGTATAAAATCTGAGTTCTTTGAAAGGCATTACAAAATAAAGTGTAAAGCTTTCCATTAATCCTTTCTGGGATGCAGTAAAGACTGCTCCTTCTACTAGAGATCCTGTTTTGGGTAGATTTGGCATGGTCAACGAATTGCAGGGACCAGTTGATACACAATCCAGTTTTAACCCTCTTCCGGAAGGACTTTTTGGTAACTAGCCGATCTCAGAGATGAGGGAGGCCTGGCCCAAAGTCTCCAAGGTTTGACACCTGACTAGGGTAACGCTAAGCGGCGAAAGATACCGCTATGACACGCTCAACCAATTCGTGACGTCCTTGTTCAGATTGTCTGGTCCATAGTTTATTAAGCTCCCCCTTCCCGCGGCTTAACGGTAAGTAACAAAGGTGCTGCGGCTCGCGGAAGTGGCAGTTCTGACGCCTGTTTGTTGTCACGTCCAGAACTCAAAGGTTGTTTTCGGTCATGGGTTCAGTTTCTACACTGGCTTTCCGTTTTTTTTTTCACTGCCAGATAGCATTGGCATTGGATGACGCGAAGAACCTACTAGTGAAAAGAAAAAGAAAGTAACGACAAAAACGAATTGGTGGAACAATTTGGTCAAATGAAAGTGATTCGGGAGCCAGAGGCCAGGATATCCTTTGCTGGGATAAAGCGAGCAGGTCCGGAGAAATCGTGCAGTGGTGCGCCAGGGGTCTTTACAGAGGGTATTTCCATAATTTATTTTTTTTTTCACCTCTGAATTTCCGAGCCACTTCGGGCTCGTAATGGAACGCATCCATCCACAATATCCGGGGGTGTGATTGGTGTGTCGCGGGGTTTGTCTTCAATGGTGTACTAGAAAAGGCCAAAACAAACCAGAAAGCTATCACAAGAATGCTGAGTTGTGGGCAAAAGTCGGACCACGGACGGGATTCGAACCCGCATCTTCTGCTTACCGGGCAGTTGCGTTCCCTATTACGCTACCGAGGCCACTCACTCAGCTCAATGGCTATTTGTGCCATAGCCTTACAGCACTCACACGTTCAACGTGATGAGCCGGTTAGCCGATATCGGCAGTGAACCGCAAGGCTGAAGGCTTTTTACAAGTTTCAAGCTGTTATTGTTTAATAGCTTTAATCGCGCACTGCGGCGTTAAACAGTAGTCATCCAAACAATAACAAACCAGAAAATTCGAATGCGATTTCACGCTATGCGGATGTTCAAAAAAACAAAATTTCCCTGAAACTGAGCATACTAATCGACAGAAAGCCCTGTTTACGGTACTACTTATCACCTATCAAAAATGAAATCTAATTTTTTGCAAAGGTACCGGTTCAGCATTCGTAAACTGTACATCGCTAAAAACCAAATAAAGGCGAAGTCGGCAGAGAGAATCGAAGAAGTCGCAAAACTGGGACTGCGAGACGGGTGCAAGATCGTTGTTCAAAACCCATAAGCGGGTCATATCTGGCCTCGGGACGAACTTTTCCGACTATTGTTTTTTTCCCATTTCTTACATTCTGGCATTTGTGATAGCTGGTTGAAATAATTCACCCTCCACCGGACGGGAAAAAGAGAAAGTTTGAAAGTTCGACATGGTGGTTAGGCTGGGGGAGTAGCACCGAAGGGGACAATTTGGGAGGGAGAGGGTCCTGCTGCTAACTGTCACCGCTATTCCCATCACTATGCTGTACCCCGAATGGAGAAGATGAGCTTTACCCAAAAAGGAGCCCCGAGGTGGGTGGTCCGATTCTGCTCAAGTCCCTTCCCAACCACGGTATTCCAGTTGTGTAAAAAATAGTTTTGGGATGACACCTTCCCCCTTCCCCTAGCCGACTCGTGTCCAAACAAATATCAGAACACCTCAAAGAATCAGATTAATGAATAAAGTTGAAAGTGAAAGGAATTACCGCATAGTTGTCGAACACTGTAGGCACATATTCGGACGGGAACTTATTGGTGGTGTACGAGATGAGCAAACATGTCTTTCCTACAGCTCCGTCGCCAACTACGACACACTTGATCGTTTGCATCTGAAACGATTTCAATCAATGTTTTGCCGTCGGGGAAAAAATTCAGAATTCAGTTCGACTAACATCACAGTAGCAAGCCCTATGCATTAGATTTGAAATCGAACAAAGCATCAGATCAGAAATAAAGGAAAAACGGGACTAGCGTAATTTGAGGAGAGGGAGGGTCCATTTGGCAGCCTCTGTATCCCGGGCACGTCCCCTTGTTGGGGGAAAATTTCGCAAAATACGACTCCCCTACAAAATTTTCTGATCTGATACGACACCCACTCCTTCCCTACCTACCATCGTGAATTCCCAACTTCCTGCTGCCTTTCCCAGTTTTCAATAGTCTCCCAGAAGTCTCTCAGTTTCTTCCAAAAACTGCGTCGAGCGGGGGGGGGTAATATAACGGACGTGAAATCAAAAAACCGAAGAAACCCAACAACCGAATTATGCATGAAGGCGAATACGACTTCACCCCCCCCCCCTCGCAGCGTACTTCCGACGCAGGACGTGTTCTGAACAAGGTTTCCCTGAACTGGGCTTAAGCTTAGTGAAGATTATGTGTTTTCTGCGGGAATGTCCTACAGCGACTCTGGTAGTTTGCCCTGTAGGCCCAAGACTGGGTTCATACTTTGCGGCAACGCTTTGAGCGTCCGTCAGTGTTTTGAGCGTTCTGAAGTACTAATAAAGAAGGGATAGATATAGCGTTTTGAGCGTCAACCAGCGTTTTGATCGCACGCCAGTTTTCAGCGATGATCGATACCTATGCTTTCTGAGCCGCTCAAAATGCTGGCGGGCTCCCAAAACGCTCACAGCTGGTGGGCGCTCAGAACGCTAGATCGATATCTATACTTTCTTATCCGCTCAAATCGTTGACGCCATGTATGAACGCACTCTAAGCCTTTTCGGGGATGGGCCGCGGTTGGGTGACCCTCACCACCCCCCCCCCCTCCATACTATGTGAGCGCCGAAAGAACACGTCAAAAAGCAAGACGATAAGACAGCTCGCTGTCGAAAAAGATAAGAGCCGACGATTTTTTCAGGAAGTTCTTGATGAGCCTTGAAAATGGGTTATTTACGTATCAAATGGTAAACTGTTGCCTTTCTATTTGAATTTGAGGATTTTCACATAACAATCACACAATACCTAGCAAATGGTGCGTACGAAATGATATACAAATTGCTTTTGAGTTTTGAAAAAGAGTAAATCGATAAAGAGTGTAACATCTAAACGAGCACGGAAACAATAAACCTCCATGAAAGCAATTCTCGTCACGCATTTTTGCCCCCAACCCGATAACGTCACAAGGAACCCTCCCTGTTTTCGTTCCAGTTGTTCACAAGGGTTTTCTCAAAAGTTCCCAAGGCCAAGGTCGACAAAGAAAAACCTCCCATTGTTCTGAAACAAAGGAAATCAACACGAAATGTCCTAGAAATTTCGCAACTCTTTCGTAACACGCTAAAAAGCAGACCTTTCAGCGCCAAAGCCCCCTCGTGCAGAGGGTTACCCTAAAGAATGATTACGGGGACCTTGAAAGAGCTAGGAAAATCTTCAAAAGCTGTCATGGTAACACAATTTGGCGAAACAATGAACGGCATTTGCAAGAAATTGCTAGAGCCGCAACGCAACCGCGTTGCGGGATGACTCGTCGCCAGCGCAGAGTCGTAGGACCACGGGCAGACCCCCCAAAGCGCTACCACCCATGGACATCCCCGAGGGTCTGCGCCAGACGTCTTTCAAAAGACTGGTTTTTGCCCTTGTGTGAATCGGTTGCGACCTGGAATTGACAATGAACAAGTTCTTTTGTATAAACTCATTTCTCGCTGGTGGAACGGCCCGTTTCAAAACTGCAACCTTTTACCTTTTAGGGAGTTCCTGAGTGGTCATTAGTGAGCCCTGCACCATTGAGACTTCGGAAATAGAAAGGTGAAAGAGTAAAGCTTTCAGAGTTGGTCCGCCAATTTTCCGGACGCGTCATGCCTTTCCTAACCATTCAGAATCTTAATAGGGATTTCTCAGGCCCCAGCCAACTGACAAGCCAAAGCCAGGGATCAGTCTGAAACCAGTTGACTAATCTCGGAAGAATGAAAAGCACATTTCCACCGAACAGGAACACATCCATCGACCTCCGCATTGAGGGAAAGCGACGGTACTTGCCCTTGCACCATCTCCGCCATTGATTGTGGCCTTTTATGTAGATTCTTTTAAAGAAATGTTAGTTTCTGTCCTTATCTTTTTGTGACATAGATCTGCAGCAACTTCTATTATTTCTCCATTTTTTGTAGGGCATGGTTTTCAGGGTCGATCTGCCCCTGATTCATGAAGGGTCCAAGCTTTCAGATCACACAGCCTCGCGGTCCCATCGAATTCTTGCCATCTGAGTAACACGGCCAGACCTTGTCTATGCAGTACTTTTTCGAAAATTGGCAGTACCTCGCTCGTACTTTGCACCGCCGGAGAAGCGGACACCAATTAATAAGTACGTGACCCTTTTCGGGTATCCCAGGAATCTCCAAGTCGTTAAGTATGCTTTCTTTTCTGCAGATTCTGAAGGTCTTCTAATTTCTCAATCCCCCAAGGGCGCTAGGTATGGGGCGGGATAAAGCTGCGTTCAGACTTGGCGTGGACGCGTGTCATGACACAGCTTTGACGTAAACTGATGTGAAAGTTTTGGAGTATAAGGTGATTTATGACGTTCCCGTCCTACAAGCGGTGGCTTTAGAGTCGTCTCCCCAAATTTTCTCCTTCGTGACTTCTGATTCTCGCTGCGCAGCACTCGCCAGGGGGTCAATTAGTTTCCAGGTGCTTAGCTGGCATACAGACAGCCTAGTAGCTGACCAGTAGCTGAGCATGCACTGGCTTACACCTGAGGAATGGGCTCTTTCTGCCAACCCAATCACAACAACTGGGCTATTGATTCCTGCTCCACTTTTGCCCGAAGGTCGCTAGCAAACTATGCATGTACGTCCTCTTCGCTTGGACTGCGGCATGTCAGGGGCTAGGTTTGGCGCGGAGCCAATTGCTGAAAGGGGCAAGCGACAACAATTGGTGGAAACGAAGGCTGGCGCCGCGCCGAACCTAGCTCACTCTTGATACGTCCCAGCATACGCAGCGAACAGGATTGTGGGCAGTGGTGTGATCACATTAGTTGTAACGCAGAACATCTGGTTCGGGCAACAGCGTGGCGATCTAATAATCTGAAACTTTCCAAATACAGCCCCTTCTTCAAAACCCCATTGATAGTTCTGATACGACATCCAGCTCCACCTTTTGCTATCGTAAAATCCCACATATACTATAACGGGGGAGGGGTAGGGAAGGAAGACCCTTTTGGACAGTTATAAA